TGTAGTAGGCGTCTCACATATAAAGTAGAGAAAGATGGGCATGGATGTTAGCTCAGGACCAGTCTTCCTCAGCAAAAAGAGGAGGATTGGCAGTAGTTAGCTCAGGGCTAATCTTCCTCAAAAAAAATCTTACGTTATTTGATATTAGAAAAAAATTAAACCCACAGCACTGGAGAACCTGGGACCAAGTAAATCTCTCCTGTTTCTATTGAGTCCCTATGCAACTTTCTTGTGTATTTTAAGATACAAAAGCCTCAAACTGCAGCTGGGAGAACAATAACAACTTGAAAGGAACATTTGGTGAATAAACGAAATTGTTATGATTTCTTTTCTGTAATAGGATGTTGGATTATTTTTCTTTTGACAAAGATAAAAAGACAGCTACCCTAAAAATCCTTCATCCTTAATCAAGTGATAATTTAAAAATTTCTAAGATAACTTTAATATTTATTTTTTTTCCAGTTTTATAATTTTCCTAAAATTTAGGTATTGTGAAATTTAACATAACTGATTTGTTGGCTTGTTTGTTTTTTACGTGTTTGGCATTGCTAAATTTTTGACTTATGGTTTTAAATGACCACTCATAACACATCCCCTGATCTCAAAATCAACATGCTTGATTTCCACTTCAGTTCTATTTATATAAAATAGTTCTTCTTGGCTGGAGTTTTCCTTTTGCTTTTCTTTTGTATAATGTCTGATAAATAACAATAATTTTGAGAAATTATTTTCCTTATTGGAAAAGTGTATGTCTATAAGTATATTATGTGCGTTATCTGGGAATCCTTGTAGACATTGCAGAGGTGCATCCATTCTGTTACATATTTTATCACTATTTGAGGTGGCCAAAAGTGTGTGTTAAATCTCACTAATCTTTTCCTCTCTCTTTCTCTCTCTCTCTCTCTCACACACACACACACACACAAAGTGTTTTGTACCTATAAGTGCCTAGCAATGTGTAGCATTGGGCTATATTTCACAAACATAAATACGTCATGGTAGGAGAAAGACGTAAATGTAGCTTTTCATTATACAACAGAGCAGAGCTGCACGCTACGTATAGATGGATTCTAAATTGTCTGTGAGGTTACAATTATATCTTAATTTTTTTATTGTATTAATGTCCATGTTGGGGACATTATGGATTTTTCTCTAAGTCTGGCATAGTTTGTTTTTCTCTCAAGCATCAGGACATTTCAGTGTATTATCAGCTGAGCACTAGATGAAGTAGTTCATTTATATGCAGGGCTTTCTTGTCCAAAACATGTTCCTTTAAACAGTAAAAGCACACTCAAGTGTGGGGACGTTTTAGATTCTGAGACAGAGATTCTCGTCTTAGTGAGTAGGAGGGCTGATAGAATCACCTGGGTTGTTTCAAGTCTGTCTCTGACATTAAGTAAAATTAAACCACTTTAATATTAATGTAGAGATTACTATAAATACAAGTATTAATATAATATCTATATTATACTACAAGTTTTATAATTACTCTTATCATGTCTCTGTTTGTTCTGCAATGTCACATCTGTCAGTGTATGTATTCTCCAGGAAAGTAATACTAGAAACCCAGGAGAAGGAATCTTAGTTCTCATTTAACAGATGATGAACCTGATACTCAGATGTGTTCATGGTTTGCTCCAAATCGTAACATTTTGGTTATTAATCTGAGATTAGCATTTGGGTGTTTTGATTCTAAATCTATCAGGATATTTTAATTAGTATTATACAAAATTTACCATAATTTTAAGTATCAGTGAAACAATGGTTTCAGTGAGTTAAAAAAAAATGTGAAGACAAAAGCAAATGCTAAAATAAGAAAAATGTCAAGAAAGTTACTTTTCCCATTTTCTGTTTGACAGCTCTATTCTCTAATTTAGAATATGAGAATATGTTCTTGTTTTACATTGGCCTATACAATAAATGGAAATACATAAGGATAGACTATAATGATCATTTCCATATTCTCTTCCTCCTTTTGCTGGCTGGATGCAAATGACCATGAGGCCCTACCCTAGTGATGAAGGTGTAAAGAAAAGCTAGACATTGATTGCAACAGAGTCAAGATGGAGAATGTAAGAATTAATGGATCTACTACCAAATACCAGCACCTAGAGGGCTCTGGGGTGCTGGCAATATTCTATTTTGGATTTGCATGCTTGTTACAAGCTATTTATTTTATATAATGTTTGAAGTATATTTTCTAGACTTTTATATGTATTTATGTTAAATTTCACAGTAAATAAAGATTATAAGACTGCTTATACCTATACTTAAATTAAATGTTAAACTAATCTCTAAGGAAAGACAGAGAATAAAAGCCCAAGTACACAATCTTCCTAGTACAGAATGACCCACACAGACGAGACCAACAGAGATAGAGTAATGTACAAAGTAATCCAGATCAGACCTGTCCAGGGCAGAAATAACCTCTTAATCACACTGAATGAAGAATTTCCACCAGAATCTGTGCGAGAAAGTAGGCCAGTGTACAATCCCATTGTATAGATTGTAGTAGGTTATATGTCATTATTATGACTTAGGTGAATGTAAAGATGGTATAGTTCTCATTCTACATTATATAATTTCATTTTCTTCACCTTTTTTACTTTCTTCACAATGTCTTACCTTGAAGAACTTCTTCAGGTGTCATTTTTGATATCTGTGATGAAAAGTATTTGAAACATAAAAATGTGGAAATATTAGGCACGGTGAAAGTACTGTGCGTCAGTCATCAGAGGAATTATAAAACATAATGATTGAATCAGAACCAGATATTACGGTTGTAATTCAGGTTTAGAGATGACTCAGCAATAAGTAAATTTCTGTTGAGTCCTATAATACTGGGTTAGAGTATTTATATCTCACCTTGCTGAATAAACATTGTTCCTGGAAATCAGGATAGACCACCATCTAAAGTCAGGCTGGCTAACATAAGTAAAGTGGAAAGTAAATAAGTAGTTGAAACTTGATTTGGGTATGTAAATATTCATAGGGCAATTATTGTGAGATTTATCTTTCTATATATAGGTCACAGAAAATTGGAAGTTACCAGGATTTGGGAATTTTTCAGCCTCTTGCCAGGCCTCTCACCTTTGTGTTAGTCCAACTCACTTTCTTTGCTTTTAGTGGCCTCTCAGATCCAGAGTGTGCTAAGTCTCATGAGTACTCTAAACCAAGTAAGACTAAAACCAATTCCTTGGCCCACCTCCATATAAACTGGATTATTCATGCATGGTACAAATTTCTCCTTCACAAAGGAGAAGCAGAAGAACAGGGTTTTCAATTCCCAACTCTCTACTGAGCCAGGGGATGGGCTATGACAACTTCCAGCCCAAATCACCATCTTTGCTCTCTCTCACCCTGGGCAGCTGAAGTATGCTATGTCCTGTGTCTCTCAAATTTAGGAGACAGGCTATGCAGAAGGAAGTCTTCTGGGCAGCCCCCCAAAATGTCCATGGATTGACTGCATAGTGCCCTTCTTCCCCTTCCCAGGAAGAAGCTCATTTATGGGAGATTTTGCCTGAAGCACAAAGATGGATTTAAAACAAGAGGATACGTTGAGTTTCTCTAACTGTTTCAATATGACTGGTTCCTGCTTGAACTGGGTGCAGGACCCTCTTAACTAGTATCTGGATTTCTTACAAAGGAAATTTGTACACGAATCCTTTTTTAATCAGTGGTTCACTAGGGTAGGTGGGTCTAGGGCTTCCTCTTGTGCCATCTTGCTGAATGGGAAATGAGAGTTCAGTTTTGACTCTTCCTTGGGCTATGTACAATCGCTACAGTGAAGGGAAAACTTGAGTCAGCTTTTGGGTCCCTAAGGAACTAAAGACAGATGTGGTCCTGCATGTAATCACAGTCCCCTAGTACCCTATTACATCTAGAAGCTGTTCCCTGGGGAAGAGATTGAGCAAGCTTCTGCAGTGTTTATAACTGAATGCATTATGTTACTACACTCACACTTAATCCTTTGTGTCTTTTCGAGTAGTAAAAATGGCAATCAAAAAGATTGCTTAAAATTGTCTACTGCTTGAGAAGACTGAAAATCGTAACGAGAAATTATGATCTACAGTTCTGAAAGATTTCCAGGGCAAATCAGAAATTAAGCATGGACTGCATCCACTTAGAACTGAAGCAAGCAAACTGCAGAGCTTTAAGTTGCCCTTCCATGACCATGGGGGTAATTACAATGATAAGGAAACACGAAGGTTTTCTGGCCTAAGAAGGTTGAATTTTTGAATTCCATTTATATTACTGTTCCTGCCTTTGAGATGGAAGTCCAAGGATCTAAGATATGGTACTTTCTTTCCTGTATTTGTAGTCCTGAGTGTCAAGTGAAATTGGTAAAAGTACCTCTTGAGGGGGCCACAGGAATAATTAGAGGTATTAGTGGCATCAAAGGATGTATTATATCAATTGGTACGTTCCCTCTGCATGGACGGAACTCTCATGCTTCTAGGTTTATGGCTATTGCTCTGTGGCATGAGGAAGTAAGTAACTTAACATCTCCTAGATTTGGGTCTCTCGATTTTGGATTAGAAACATTGCTTTCATTTCCACCCCATCAAGTCTAATATGTATTAGTGGCCAGCACCAAGTAGCTAGAGTTGCTGACTAGAATATTATTGGTGAGGGGAAGATTCAAGTGAATAAAGAAATGATTGACAAGAGAAGGATGATTCCGACCAAGTAGAAGCTTCTTCTCCCTTTTCCTTTGGTTTTCCCAGCAGTCATTATTGTATGGAAGAAGCAGCCTTCACGCTGCAGGTGAAGTTTTTGTGCCCTTTGCTTTATTTAGCTAATAAAGACTCTAATAAAGGAAAGTTTTTGTCACTCAGTCTCACGATAATGGTAAAACAATTTCTATGGGTCAAGTTTGAGCTGGCCTCAGACTTTCCCAGCACATACTCCATTCTTGTGATAGGACATGTTTCAGGAAGAGTTGATTTGTTCTCTGTATAACTTTTTCTTCTTCTGTCCACAGATTCCCTTAGAAAAGAATGGCTCCTGGAAATGGTTCTTTTTTGACAGAATTTATTTTGGTGGGATTAACAGATCTTCCTGTTCTTCAACTCCCCCTTTCTTCCTGTTTCTAATAATGTATATGGTCACTGTGTTAGGAAACTTGGGCTTGATAATTTTAATTGGGCTGAGTTCACACCTACATACCCCCATGTACTTTTTCCTCTTTAATTTGTCTTTCATAGATTTCTTTTATTCTTCTGTTTTTACACCCAAAATGCTAATTAACTTCATATCCAAGAAGAATATTATTTCCTACACTGGCTGCATGGCCCAGTTTTACTTTTTGAGTTTTTTTGGTATTTCTGAATGCTATGTGCTGACAGCATTGGCATATGATCTCTATGTGGCCATCTGTAAACCACTTTTGTATAACATTGCCATGTCCCCTAAAGTGTGTTCCAGCCTTATGCTTGGTTCATACTTAATGGCATTTTCTGGTGCCATGGCTCACACTGGATGCATGCTAAGACTGACCTTCTGTGATGCAAACACCGTCAACCATTATTTCTGTGACTTTCTCCCTCTGCTTCAGCTCTCCTGCACGAGCACCTATGTCAATGAGCTGGTTGTTTTTATTGTGGTGGGCATCAACGTCATTGTGCCCAGTCTCACCATCTTTATCTCTTATGGTTTCATTCTCTCCAGCATCCTCCGCATCAGCTCCACAGAGGGCAGGTCCAAAGCCTTCAGTACCTGCAGTTCCCACATAATTGCTGTTTCTCTGTTCTTTGGATCAAGTGCATTTACGTATCTCAAACCATCTTCTTCTGTGTCTATGGATGAGGGAAAAATCTCTTCTGTCTTTTACACCAATACAGTTCCCTTGATGAACCCCTTAATTTATAGCTTGAGGAATAAAGATGTTAAACTTGCTCTGAGAAAAATTCTGAGTAGGAGAAAGTTTTGATCAAAAACTCTATATATGCATGTAGTTACAGGACAAAGGGATTCTGTATGTCTAATTAAAATATTTTTATGGGTAGCTTTTTAATCTTATTTTTCACTTAACATGGTAAAGGAAATTTGAGTCTTGTCTCACAATTTATTTCCAGTCTTTATTGAACAGGTCCTCTATTTTTGCTCACCGTTTCCATGGTATCCTCTCCACCATTTTTCCTGTTTAGTAATAATGTTAAATATGAAATATACTATCTCTTTTTTTTACTTGTCATTTTGAACTTCATTTTTCCTGTAGAAAAATGTGAGTGATCTTCTAATAATCTAATTAGGACCCACGAGAGTGACATTGAATGTGCGCTTACTGCTACTTGATATTAGAAGCATGAATCAGATAATCTGTTTCGACTCCTATCCTTTCCAATATCCTATTGGCAAGAATATGTCTTCTTTAAATGCTAGAGATTAAAGGTTCCATAAAGACTATCAAGCATAATCCATTTTGTATACGTAAACATTATGTATTAAATTTCATTTGGGGAAAATTCTCTTTCATGTCTTTGTACAGTCAAACCAGCACATAATATATATCAAAATATATTTATTCTATGGATGGGAAAGTGAAACTCAGAGTGATTAATGATTTACTGAAACTCACACAACTTCATGAAGAAAAAATCAAAACTCTTAGGCTTCTGTTTTAAGTAAACTATTCTTTGTAGCATAATTTGTGTTGATTCTATTATTTTTGCTTCAGTAAGCATGGAATATTAGAAATTATTGCTAATTTGAAAGTTGACTGTACTTTTTTTCCAGGAAGATACATGAATTTCTCACAGGCTGAGTATTACTGTTTTTGTTTTTGTTTAGGAAAACAGTTTGATGGCTCTTTTTGCTGTGAAAGAGAATTTGTGTACTAGTATATTGAGGAGATGACTGGCTCAAATAGAGAGATTACTTTTTCTGCAAATTAAAAAAACTGAATTTGGAGTATCTGCAAATATTACTTATTCAGAGAATACAGCATGAGAGAGAATAGAGCACTGAAACATGTCATTTGGCAGGACTCAACAGACACATGGCTAATGAATAAGAAGTCTGGGTGGGAGGAATGGTCATTAGGGTTAGAAATTGCATTTCAATTTGAATTTGTATCCTTCTGTGGAGCATTGTGAATACATCTCACTGTCCACAAAGCTTTGAAAACTATAATGCACAGTGTCTGTGCATTAGTAATGTTTTGGGCAATGAAGGTAGAATACCTGTGGCCACATTTGGGGAACCAGGTAGAGAGGGAGCAGCAGCTACAGGAGATAAAATAATGTGGTGTAACTGAAACTCGATATAGGAAGAAGGAATTTAGAAAGGAAAATCATTGATTATGAAAGCCTTTACCTGTGACTTTCTCCTTTCTGGAAGGCCCTAGAAATGTTATGGAGATCAAAGCATTCTTCTAGATCATGAAAGAGTATGTTATTTGATATTAAAACAGTTAAACAACAGGGCTAGAGGCATGGGAACAACTAAATCACTCTTGTTTTTCTTGGCTTCCATATACTACTCCCATATGTATATTTATATACAAAAATCTCAAATTACAGCTGGGAGAGCAATGGCAACTAAAAAATGTATTTGGTGCATAAACCAAATGTTAACAATATCTTTGCTGGAAAGGATGCTGGATTATTATTTTTTTGGTAAAAGAGAAAAAAAATGTTGCTCTAAAAAAATCTCAATTTGATGTGTCTAGTGACACATGTTTTCTAAGGTAGCTTTCATAGTATTAACTATTGACCATTTTCCTAATCTCAACTCAATATTTAGGTATGTTAAAATTTAGTATAACTGGTTTGTCAGTTTGCTTGTTTGTTTATATTTAGAAGTTTGTCAATCCTAAATCCATGTCTATGGTTCAAATTGACCACTCATACTCCATCTCCTCATCCCAACATTGACATGCTTCATTTTAACTTTACCACTTATATTTATAGAAAATACTTGATCTTGGCTGGATTATAGTTCAATGTTTTTATTTTAGTTACACATTTTTGAAAAAATCATTTTCCTTATTGAAAGAAAATTGTATCTAAATGAATAAATAATATCTATGCTATTTGGAAACCTTTGTATACCCTCCAGAACTGCGTGCACTCTGTTATGTATTTTTATCAAGATTTGAGGTGACCCAAAGAGTGGCTTAAATCTGGTCACTAATCTTTTGTTTAGTGAGTCTCAAAATTCTGATCAAATCTCTTTCATTTACAGAACAGGAAAAATTTCTTGAAAAATAATTTCTGTCTTCAACTAATTAGAAAAAATTAATAAAAATAGTTTAAATACAGTTTGTAATAATTAAGGGTGGTAACATTTTTTTTTTTAAAGATTTTATTTTTTTTTCCTTTTTTTTCTCCCCAAAACCCCCTGGTACATAGTTGTACATTCTTCGTTGTGGGTCCTTCTAGTTGTGGCATGTGGGATGCCGCCTCAGCGTGGTCTGATGAGTAGTGCCATGTCCGCGCCCAGGATTCGAACCAACGAAACACTGGGCCGCCTGCAGCGGAGCGCGCGAACTTAACCACTCGGCCACAGGGCCAGCCCCAAAGGTGGTAACATTTTTAAAGAGGCAACCTAGCTGATTGTGAAGAAACTTAAGGAATTTTTGGTTAGCAAAAGCACTATGTGTCCATCTATTTGGGCTTTTTTCAAAGGGCCGGGAATCAAGTTTTACACACACAACATAGTCATCCTTAGTATTTTTTGTTTTTTTGTGTTATGTGAATGGCACTGACAAGTTACGAGGCAAACTATGGTTCCATTAAAATTGTCAAAGCTGACAGTTAAGCAGGTACAGATGTGCCTGTGTACTAGGACAGCTGTTTCTAAGTCAGTGTGAAAGTTTTGAGATTTTAGGCTTAACAGGAAATGGTCCTCCTGATTAAGGCCCAGAAAGAAAGTTCTCTGAATACATCCCGAATTTGTTGAGTGTAAAATTTCTCTGAGGGAGCTGCTATTGTTGCTCAGGATCAGGTTTGGAAGGAGCATGATCAGGGTGAACTGTGGTTCAGGACTGATGAAAACTGGAAGTAAAAGGGGTCTTGAGTTCTATATCTCTTTAATTCCTGGTCTCTCAACTTTATTGAACCGCATTCTCCACTCCTCTTTACACTGCCTGCCTACAAAGACACACACAAAGACACAGACACATACACAAAGACACACATACACAATACAGTATCTTCAAGTCTATTTTATGAGATCCTTGCCTAACATCAATTGCGTAATATTCAACCCACTTTTCATCTTTATATGCACATTCAGGTAGATGGTTCCTGGCGGTGGCTCCAGAGAGACAGGGCTGTGCAGAAAATACCTGCTGAATCTGGCCAGAGAATACATTTATGGCTTCATTCGTACATTTGTTTATGTTAAAAAAAATAATAATTCTTTACCTACTAAGTCCCTGGCAATGTGTGGCAATCTGATGTATATGACAAACAAATAGGACAATGTAAGAGACTGACATAAAGGTAGATTTTCAAATGCAATATAATAGAGTTACATCCTACATGTGGATAGATTCTAAAATTGGTCTTAAAAGGTGACATTGCTCTTGAAAATCGATTATATCAGCAAATGTCCATGTTGGCTAAGACGTGATATTTTTCCCTAAGTCTGGCATAGTTGGTTTTTCTTGCGAACATTGGAACATTTCACCGTATATTCATCTGAGAACAAGATGAAGTGGTTGGTTTATATGCAGGGATTTTGTTCAAAATATGCACCTATAAATAGCGAAATCTCACTCAGTGTGAGAAGATTTAAATCCTGGGACAGAGACTCCCATCTTCTTTGTTATTTGGAGAGCTGGTGAAATCACTTGGGGTGTTTAAAGTCTCTCTCTGATGTAAAATTGAAGTGATCCACTTAAAAAATAGAGATATGCGCAGGATTTTACATTTTTCTCTTAGGAGGAGTGTTGTGTTTCAGTTTTCTCTGCACTGTCACATCTCTCCCTGTGTACCGCAGGGAAGAACTGCGAGGTACATGGGGAAGGAGATCCTGGTTCCCGTTTCATAGACGTTGAAACTAACGAACAGAGATGTTCATGGCTTGTTCCAAATCGCAATTTTTAAGTCATTGAGCTGAGACAAGAACTCAGGTGTTTTGATTCTAAACCTACTAGGATTTAAAAAAAATTATTATTATACAAACTTTACCATGTTGAGCCCTGAACATCATCCTGTGAAACTGAAGTGCTGACTCGCACCATCTCATTAGTCACTCATGGGATAAAAATTTAACTCCCACTTCAGCTCTTCAACACCTCCTCAGCCAAAATGGAGCACTAACTCACAATACTTTACAACTGCTAGGTGGGGCATAAAACTTTGGCTCTATGATGGACCCTATTGACAACAAGGAGTGGGAATAAGTAAAACAACTAGCTGTCTTACACAATCTTGTTCCACTTCATTGCTATTGAGTAGTATGGAAGCTCTTTTCCCCACTTGACTCCATTGACACTATATCAGCAGGGAATATGAGGTGCTATTACCATCACTTTGTTCATCTTTATTGCTACTAAGCAAGAGAGGTTATTCAGATTGTTGCTCAGTCTAATTTACACCATGCTGGTAGCAGCATCTGATTTCCACTTCCTATTGCCTCACTTGGCCCTGCTAACATCAACCCCAGCAAGAGAATCAAACCACCTCTTAATACAAACAAGCAGAGGGTAGCAGAAATTTAGCTCTCTACTTGGCCTTTCTGGAATGAGTGGAGGGACAATTTTGCTTTAATTTTTGGCTGTTGTTGGGTAGATATGATAAAGAAAATGTTTTCTATTCTGCTAGGCCATCATTTTTCCTGTTCCTTTAATTAGAGCAAAGATTTTTTCGTTTTTCTTTTTTTTGATTTGTATCTTTGGTGCTTTGAGGTTGCCGGCTTAACCAGTGTACTATCTGGGATAAATAGGAGGCAAAAAAGAAAGTCCAGGCAACTCACTACCCA